TTTGTTTTTAAAAAAATATGTGTATTTAGAAAATGTGCTTATATAGGAGGTGACTATAGAGAGGTCAGACTGTATTTGTTTTTTCTATATTCTGAATATTCGTCGAGGAGATGCAATTCTAAGAAATACATAGCAAAAATTTTATAATATCACAAGGTATTATTTGATTGGCGCTGGGTTCAATTAATAACCCTTAAATTACTTAAATAGTTCTGGCACAGGTTCTGGCATGTGATATATCGACACTTCGCACAAATTTACAATTTTCTCTTGTGGTTTTGACCGCATAAAGTTGCTTTGCATTAGATAAAATTATCTTAATTAATGATGCCTGGTAAAATTATTTTTGACATGATGAAATAGGTATATATTTGTTTTTTAGTAATAACTATTGAAATCATACGGTTGACCTATTTTCAATAAGCTTTATCAAGCTTCATTATGATATACTGAATCTTAAATTTGCAGTATTTCTGTTCCACGCCATTTTTCAATTTATAGTTTTTTTACTTAAGGAACATATTGAGATTACCGAATTAATTCTATCTTGCTTAAATATGTGCAATTCTTCCATCAAACCAATACGAAGAATTTTAGAAATATTAACCACCCACCTAATATTTGAACATTGGATTATATTGAAGGTCTGAATTTTTTTAGATTTGGACACTCATTATATGGCTTCTATCCATCAAATTTTATTTAGTTTTCTTTAGTTATAAAAGGCTCTAATATCAACCAAAGGTCTAATAATATCAATATCATTATTATATCATATCAGATTATTTTTATCAGTAGTCTATTACATTAAGTTTCATGATCGACATTAAGAATCGCTCTGGTCAATGAAAATTAGAAAATAGTATACAAATTAAAAAAATAACACGTAACTTTTCCACTATGAAGTATATTTATGCTCATCACTATAGGTTTTGTAATTCGTCATATGTTTCATTATTTGTAATTATTCAGGAATTGTCTGATGAAGATTTCATCATTTATCAGACATAATTAATTATATTGATATTTTGTTGTAAAGAGTATTGATTTATTTCTTTCATATATCTTTTGATTTTGAACAGTTTCTATTGATATACTAACCGTCGAATGACTATTATTTGATGATAGTGTTTAGTTCTATGCAATTTCGGAGAATTTTTACTACTTTAACCTAAAATCGTATAAGCACAAACATCAATTGATAAATATTAATTGTTTTGCGAAATTGCTTTTTTTTCATTTGCTACATAGACAAAAGCATCAGCTGCTTTATAAGATCAAAGCAATTTCAGAAAATTTTATTGTTTTAGCCTGAATTCGTATAGACCTGATTTATGTAGGGGTTGGACCCGGGTAGAAATTGTGCTATATGATATATCATAATTTACCCGGATAACCCGGGTAATTTAATAATACCCGGGTAGAGATTTTCTCAACGGGTCCAACCTCTAGATTTATGATCTCGAGGTTAATTGTTTATTCGATATACCGATTTTAATAATATATATTGTATCTTTTAGCGTTGTAATTGTTCATAAAAATGCCATCTTTAATTAGCATTATTTACTTTAAATCAGTATCTCTTTTTGTAACAAAAAGATCAAAACATTTATAAAAGAACTAATTTATTGTTGTAATTATCTTTAATATGATCAGTTTAAAGCATCATAGCATTATTGTTTATAAATCATTCGCTTTTTATAAAAACAAGGTCAAAACGGTTATAAATATTAATAAAAAATTTTTTTATTTTTAAAAATTACATCTCATAAATTTTATTAAAAAAATTCATGTCAAGGAAATTTTCCACATTTAATTAAAATGCCCAAGTATCCAAAAAAACAATGTCAAATAATACAACTAACAGCTAATCGCGAAAAGGCAAAAAAAATCACAAGTGTAGAGAATACTTTTCAATGCCTTGATAAAAATACTAATAACCTTCCAGAAGAAAAGTTAATCGAACTTATTCAAGATTTAAGTGATGATGAAAAAGAAGATGCAATAAAATTACTAGAAAATATGAGATATCCACAAGGAAAAAATGAGGGAAAAATTATATCCCAATATTTACAATGGCAGTTGGTTGAAACAATTTCTAGCACCTTTTATCGACACCAAATAAGGAATCCTATCTTAAAAAAAAAAAATAAAAAATTAAAACAAAAAAATGAAGCTCTTATTATAAAAACCAAATTCCTTGGATCTCAAAATCATCATACTTGCTAAAAAATATCTTGTCAAATATCTGAAATATGTTCCTTAGTTCATAGGTCTAAACAAATATCATCAGAAGAGTTTAAAAAACAAGTAAAGGCTCTTTTTAAATCAAATGATCGTCACTACTCTTCAGATATGATTTGGCTTACAACCAAAATAACTCAAGTCGGTCAGGTTTCAATGCGTGCAACTACAGAATGTATAAAATTAATTTATGAGTTCTTAACAGGCGAATCACCAAAAAGTTGGCTTTCAGTAGAGCGAGTTACAACTTGGCATAAGCAAATCTCAGAATTAGCAGCTTCTAAATTTGCTAAACATGCTCAACAATCAAATTCATTCAGCATTACTGCAGATGAATCAACCCGTGGTCAAGATAAACATCTAGTTATCTGTTTCATATATTGGGATAAAGAACAAAATTATTCAGTAGCAAGTATGGTTAATTTAAAAATTATTAAAAAATATAACGCAGATACTATTGCAACTTCAGTTATCGATACTTACCAAAAATATCAACTTGATATGCGAAAATACATGACATGGCTTACTGACAACACCACGTATATGTCTGGAAATTTGAATGGAGCTATTGTTAAATTTAATAGATTACCAAATTCCAAATCAACTCGAGTTGGGTGTGCAATACATATCATTAATATCGTTTTTACAAATTTTGAAAACGAAGCCTTTGGTCATATATCAGGTTTTTCAAAAAAGCCTCATCCTTTTAATCTTCTACATCTTGCTTGGTCTCTTCATGATGGCTATGGGAATAAAAAATAGTAATGCGCCAATGAATATAAAAAGTGATTATATTCAGGCTCTATATAAATCTCTTCTTGGACATTGTTATTCACAATACCAGATGCCATTACAAACTCGATGGGGATATGAATTATGTACCGCTGAACAGTATTTAGAAAGAAAAGAATCGCATCTTCAATTTGTGAAATGGTTTATTAAAATATTAGAAAATTATCCTAATATAGCACTATCCTATTTGAATGATTGGCGTCTCTTTCATACCTGGCTTAATAACGCGAAGCTTAATATTCAAGTAAAGTGTTTAACAAAATTTGGTCAACACTTTTTTATTCCCTTAATGACATTCCTTATTGGCCAAGATCCTGTACCTCGTGTTTTCAATGGTGAAAACTGGATAACTTTACCTCCTGGTCGACGTGCCCATGAAATGCCTGATAAAGTTTTAGAATGGCTGAACTTTTTAACAGAGGAGTGCGTCGAGTGTAACCCGGGGGAACACTGTTATCATGTGATCATCGATCACTGGGTTCAGTGTCCCTAACCCGGGTTTGTATAAGGTAAAATTTCCAATTATATACTATAAATTGGAAATTTTACCTCGTAATGCAGGAAGATGCTCTCCTTATGTATATAAACAAGGTAGGGCAGCTGTTAAAAATCGAGTGTTCGAGCACAGAAATGTACCTTTGATTTATTAGTTAACAAGCCTAGTTAACACTATTTAAATATGGTACTGGTTTTTAATGTCGTTATTTTTTTAATTTGAAGATATTGATTTAAAACTTATACACAGCGATGCAAAATTGGACATTTGGACACCTTTGGATTGGACGTCTGATCCAAGTCAATCGTGATTCTTGGTCACTAGGTTTAGATCCTAATCTAATCCATAAATTTAAATTAATAATTTATATAACTTAGGTCTAATCAATTGAACATGACAATGCTGCTTGTTCAGAAAGATCCCTAAAATTCTGGTTCGAAATGCAAGTTTTTAAATATATAAAGTTAAAATTAAAAAAATTATTTTTTGAAAACTATTAAATTAGAATAAAAATCCAACTTTAGGAATTCTGGTCAGCTAATTCGGAATTGATAAATTT